TCATGATCGTTGGCCGAACGATACCGTTCCATTTCGTCAAGGAGGTATGGTTTTGCGTCCCGGATCCTCAAGATACACACTCTTTCGCTCTGGTGGAAAAGATCTACGATGAACGATTGGAGAAAGAGCTGGTGTTGGACTACAATGCATCACCGTTGCTCCCTGAGTTCGAGAGATACCGAACGCCGAGCAAGATCATGGAATTGCTTTGCGAAATGCCTCCTGGACCCCACGACACCAGCAAGGAGCAGATCATTCGAGACCTCACGACTGTCCTGGAGTCCCACAGGGAGAACACGGTTCGGCATCACTACATGGACAAAGGGGTCAAGTTTGTCATCAAGAATTGGCGACCCGAAGACCTACGCAGAGACGAGGATGGAAGGAGAATGAGGGTGTGCCCGGCATGCTACAACATCGTTCCAGCATGTTTCTCCCGATGCACGTCTTGCTGGTCACAGTTCGTTTCGAGCGGATATTACCAAGGTTCTCCACAACGGGAGACTCCTAAGGAGATCCCCAGTGACTTCATCGCTCAGACAATGGAAGCCGCAGCAGCAGCAGTGCCTGAGGCGCCCGAAGAGGAGCAGGAAGCCATGGAGGTAGAGACCGTTGCGGAACCTGAGGAAATCCCAGAGCCATCTGTCATCGCAGAGGACGATCCAGAACAGGAACCTGATGAAGAAATGGACATAGAGCCCGGAGAGGAATTTGATGACGCAGTACCAGATGCAGTTGCACAGGAACGTCGTCCCGTCTTCATTACCGGCCAGTCTTTGAACATCGATCCTGAGCTACAACTTGCACGTACCGCCATGCAGCCATCCTACTATTCTGGAAAGCGAAATGCCCATTGCATTGACGCCAATATGGCCGCTCTTTCGTATATGGCATACGTGGTATGCAGATCCATCTACAAAGCTTGGTCAGGGTTCGCAAAGTGGGCGACTATGCCGTTGTTCCAGATGAAGGAGAATTTCGCACTTGGCCAACGCTATGATGTGCTCGGAAAGTGGGGATCTTTGGCGGCAGTGGATAGGGAAACGGGTGTGAGCAAGGACGTGACTGATGAGGAGATCATTCGCTTTGCCAAGGAGCCTGAGAACCTCAAACAGTATGATCCCAACGGGACTTACACCTTGAAGCGCTTCCGGACGAACCAGATGCTTTCGTTGCTTACACGGGGAGCCAACATGATGGGAATTGGCAGGGACAACTTCAACCCTACTACTTACTTGAAGAGCGACAGGGATGAAGATGTGAAGGCTATGCACTTTTGTTGCCTGAACGTCCTGTGCGAGGTGATTCCAATGGTAACAGGACACCAACAATTCTCAGTGCTACGACCAACGCCAACTGGACCGGTGGACTTCTTGTACATCGACCCCGTCGGTATCCTGCTGACTCATTCCGATCATTCAGTCCAGACCATTGGATTGCTGGTGGACCACAATGTGCAAATGCCTGCGCATTTCATGGACAGACTGAACAGATCCAAGGCTGAGAGACAGCAAAACCCGACGACCAAGCGTACTGAAGCCCTACACCACATTTCGGCCGCTGATTATCTCCCTCCAGGTGGTACTTCCATCCTGGACACGCCTGTCACTACGGAGGAACGTGCAAGCGCTTCTTCGGCCAAGGGACCTTCAAAGGGGCGTGAGAGAGCCGAAGGTGAACAGCATGGAGGCTGGAACGCCAACACCTACTATGACTACACCGCCGGCAAAGGCCGAAACAAAGGCAAGGACAAAGGAAAGCAAAGGGAACAGTATCCAGAGGGAAACCTCCGGCCCTGGGACCGCGATCCTGCGACCACGCGAAGATGGAGATGAATCAACGCTTGGTCTTCCTCGCCTATCAGTTCGTGACCTCTGAGCTTCGCCCATGGAATGCTATCGCGAATGCTTCTTTCTTCGGTGACGCCTGATTCGTTTGCCATTTCAGGGGATCGTTACTGACGCAGATGAGTGTCACAACGTTTCTAATTGGGATGCAAAGCTCTGATTTTTCAATGTCAACGTTGCGGCGGAACATTTTCTGTTGTCCTATCGTGCCATCTTCCGGGTGAGCAGCGTCGGAGACGCAACTCATGGTGGGTGCGAACGGACTGCGATGCCTTGTCAAGTTCTAAGGTGTCACTATAAGAGCTGTGAGCAAGACCGTGTAAAGTGCAAGAGAAGGGGGCACGCTACGCGTCCCTCGACTCTAAGGGGGCACGCTACGCGTCCCTCATCTTTACCTTTCTATGTGACCGCGCACGCAACGTTTGGCTCAAGTCAATGCCCATAGCTAAGTGCTATAAGCGTCTTCTATCCTGAGCAATCAGAGCTATCCCGGTGCACAGACGAACCGCCGCCGGCAGTGAGTGCAAAAGGAACGGCCGCCGGTTCTGCCTGCATAGGATTGCACGCGTGGAAGTGTAAGAGAGACAGGGTCCAGTCAGTGGAGAGTGCAAGCCAGCCACACCTACATTCATTACAGCTCTGGTGGGGAGAGCAGCAACCTAGTCGAGATCAATCCCCCACGCAGACTACTATTACTACTACTATTACTACTACTACTACGACTACTACTACTACTACGACTACTACTACTACTACTACTACTACTTACTAATACTACTACTACTACTACTACTACTACTACTACTACTACTACTACTACTACTACTACTACTACTACTACTACTACTACTACTACTACTAAGTACTAGTACTACCTACTACTGCTACTACTATTAGTTAGTATTGGTAGCCGCAGCAGTAGTAGTACTGGTGATTACTGTTACTCGTAGCAGTACTAGTAGTACTAGTTAGTAGCAGTAGTAGTAGTAGTAGTAAGTAGTAGTAGTAGTAGTAGTAGTAGTAGTAGTAGTAGTAGTAGTAGTAGTAGTAGTAGTAGTAGTAGTAGTAGTAGTAGTAGTAGTAGTAGTAGTAGTAGTAGTAGTAGTAGTAGTAGTAGTAGTAGTAGTAGTAGTAGTCAGTAGTAGTAGTAGTAGTAGTAGTAGTAGTAGTAGTAGTAGTAGTAGTAGTAATAGTAGTAGTAGTAGTAGTAGTAGTAGTAGTAGTAGTAGTAGTAGTAGTAGTAGTAGTAGTAGTAGTAGTAGTAGTAGTAGTAGTCGCAGTAGTAGCAGTCGTAGTAGTAGTCGTAAGTAGTAGTAGTAGTAGTAGTAGTAGTAGTAGTAGTAGTAGTAGTAGTAGTAGTAGTAGTAGTAGTTGTAGTAGTAGTAGTAGTTAGTAGTAATACCTTAGTAGTTATTAGTTAGTTAGTTAGATAGATAAATAGATAGATAGATGGACAGATGGAATAGTAGTAGTAGGAGGAGTAGTAGTAGTAGTAGTAGGAGTAGTAGAAGTATTATTTTTAACAGTCGCACTAATTACTAATAGTCGAACTTGTATTAGTAAGTAGGACTAGTAGTACGACTACTAGTAGTGGTAGCTGTGATCTGGTGCTGATGCTGGTAGTGCCAGAAGCGCTGGGGTGGTAGTTAGTAAGTAAGTATCGCACCTGTAATGTAGTGGCCATGGTATTGGTATTCGGGCCGACTTAGGTGAGATCCTGGGATGAGGGAATCCATTGGAGGAGGCCGGCTTGGTGCAATTTTGTGTCGACATTAGATATCGTATTTCGGCATTGCAGTTTGTTGAGGTGGTTTGATCGTGGCCCGGGTAAGCTCGTCAGCTCGCTGCAGCCGAGTGCATCTGATTCGTAATAGAAACAGGAAGTAGTTAACGCCCCCGTGACCCATTCCCCACAATAGTATCCGAAACCTGCAGGTTGGGTGCCGCCGTGGGATTCCCCATGGGACGGCTTGGCCTTGGGCTGGTCGGCACATGGCCTTTTTATGTGGGCCCATTTTGTGCCTGGCCTAATTAAATGATGGGTATGCAGTGGATTGGCCGGCAAAATCGAGAGACTTAGTTTGCTTGCTGCTGTCAGTTTGGGATGCCAGTGGGGAGTTTAGATTATTATTTTGTTTAGTCAGTATATTTAGTGAATCAGGGCATTTGGATGATCCCGCACCAATGTAAGGCACTATGCCATTGTCGTGCATTCCGCGGCAATAGTCGGAGTGACAATCATTGAGTGAGGCTAGCTTCGTTTAATTTATAGATAAATAAATAAAGAATAAAAGCGGGCTAGCCGCTGTAGAGAAGCGGGCTAGCCGCTGTAGAGAAGCGGGCTAGCCGCTGTAGAGAAGCGGGCTAGCCGCTGTAGAGAAGGGGGCTAGCCGCTGTAGACAAGCGGGCAAGCCGCTGTAGACAAGCGGGCTAGCCGCTGTAGACGAGCGGGCTAGCCGCTGCAGACGAGCGGGCTAGCCGCTGTAAACGAGCGGGCTAGCTGTAGACGAGCGGGCTAGCCGCTGCAGAGCGGCTATGTTGTGACCGCTTACTTAACTAATAAAAATATAACAATTAATTATTATTTTAAAATTGTTCTAACTAAATTATTATTAGTAAGTAGGCAGCGGACTAGCCGCTAGAAATAGTAGCTAGCTTGCCGGGAAGCGGACCAGCCGCTAGCGGACTAGCCGCTTAATAGGCAGCGGATTACCGCTTGTGGGTTCTTTCAATCAACTGGCGGAGTAGCCGCCCAAGATTGTGTGGCCAGCTAGCTCCCGATTTTCCGGGGTAGTGCAAATGCACTGGGCAGGCTTGTGAGTGAGTTGTGAGTTGGATCTGCGGTGATATTTCAAAGGCTTTGGTTGCTCAAGCAGTGTAGCTGGTTTCCTTCCGTCTGTGTGATCGGTTGGTCCGTGATGAAGAAGCAGCCCACCAGGACTGGAGTTCCAAAGTTGCCCTTGCTAGTTTCGAGCCGTTGGTATAGATTCTGCAATTCCCGAACAAATCAAAAGCCAATTGAGAAGCCCATTTCAGGAGTCTATCCACTCGGTCCTTGGAACACGGGCAAGACCAGGACGCTGCCACGGGGTTCCTACTGTCCTCTGCACATGCTCGCCTGGCCAAAGCACTTGTCCCAGGCAGGTTCACGGCATGGTGGTAAGGAGTGCAGAGAATGTAAATCAATATCAAAACACACCCCACGAGTTTGCTCACTTGCCCCAGGGGACGACGGGGACAAGACGAAGAAGAAGTCTAAGGAGCACAAGGGCAAGAAGCATAAGAAGCGATTCTTGCCTGATATTAATTAAGTTAAGATATGCAAAGGTCAAACCGAAGTGGAATTCAGTGGGAGCTGTGGCGAGGCTCGCAGTCTTCCTCACGCGAGTCCAGCGAGGAGAGTGCCGAGGAGGGCATCCAGGAGCTGCAGTCGATCTTTGGGCTTCCCAACAAGGAGTACCAGCGGAATCCGAAGCAGGCTCGTGCAGAGGATCTGTCGGCGAAGCAGACGGCGGTGGCGATCACCAATATCACTTCGTGTGTGACTTCTGATGATATCATGGAGATTGGCGGCGATGCCGCCTCTAGGCTAGGTTTCATTTTGTTCTGTGGACACATGTAATGTAGTTTGACGAGGCACATTCAAATGGATTTATTGCATTGAAAGGATACCTTGCTTCCGGTCGGCGGTTTCTGCTAAACTTGCACAAGTGCATTGCATATGACTTATTATGACATTTGGCAAACTGCTCAGGAATCCTTGCTGTCACAGAACAGAGACCGGTTCAAGAAGTCGAAGAACAAGGATGGCGAGCACGCTGCAGTCAACAAGGATTGCAGAGATACAAATGCTGTCGTTCGTGTGTCTCAATCCAGTGCTTGTTTGTTGCCCTGACACATAAGGCAAGAGCAGCTAGTGTGAGATGGAAGAAGCGGCTCGGGAAGCTGATCCAGGTGAGCTGCCTGGCTGCAGGTCCATCCACAGTATCTCCTGCACACCTCTGTTGGAGCACTGACGCAAGCTGTTTTGAGTTTCGCACAATGACAAACCCAGTCTGTGGAAAGTCACCATCGGGCATCAACATCATGAATGCGAAGACTATGGAGGATGTCTCGATTTTGCTTCGCAGCTTGAGTGCCAGTCACAGGAAGCTCCCCGGCTAAACGGCTAATGCAATTGTTGGTCACCTGTTGCTTGAGTCCTTGCCTGCTTTGCCACCGAGTGATCTAATTCAGGAAGAACAAGCTCACCAAAGCAGATCTGAATGAGAACATCACAGCCGAGATGCGCCAGCTGAAGCAGGAGACCGGTGTGTAATGCTTTTCCGATTGAGTAGAGCCACTTGCATATCATGAGCCTGAAGCTTACGATTTCGGGGTTTTGGTTTTGGGGCCCTCTTAGTCAGTAATAGGGTTTAATTGAATTAGCTAATTAATAGTTTCGAGGTTTTGGTTTTCGTGGCTATTAAGGAGGGTGTTTTTGGGACTTTGGGAGAACCGCCCGCCCATCAGTGCCTCTGCTCTTGCTGTAACTACTGGGGCAGTGAGATGATGATTAGAATAGAATGTGGCCCTAACAAGGTAGTGCAGTACAGCTAAGATTGACATGTAAGTAAGAATAAAATTCCAAACTAGAGCACACTGGGACCTTGGCATAGACAGTGTCTGTGAGTTTCAGAGAGCGAGTGTAGATTGTGCGGTGCATTGATTGATTCAGAACATTTTGGCTCCGAGGGAGCCTGGGTCGCCTTTTGATTTGAGGCATGGACCCCTCCGTGCTGGCTGCCATGTATGTGCGCCTGCAGCAGCAGGTGCCGAGAGCACCGATGATGCCGCCGGTGCGGCCCGTGGCGGGGATGGCACCCATGGGGATGCCAATGATGCCTGGGATGACGCCCATGGGTGTGCCACCGATGCTTGACCCGTCTTTCCTGGCAGGCTTGCTGGCTACGACCCTGAGCCCAAAAGGCGAACATGGAGGGCCGGCAAATGGGCCAGTGAATGGGCCGGATGGGACGAGTGGGCCGGTGAATGGGCCAAATGGGCCCATGAGTGGGCCCATGAGTGGGCCGATGAATGGGCCGAATGGGCCGCATGAGGCCATGAATGGGCCGAATGGACCGATGAGTGGGAATGGGCCGATGAATCAGCCGAATGGGCCGACCGGGCCGATGGTGGATGGGCCGGCGACTCCTCCACAGTTGCCAAGGATGGAGCCTGCAGGCGGGGCAGATCCTCCACCGCCCCCGCCGAAAACGCCACAGGAGGTGGACCTGACAACGGCTGCTGACGACGAGTCCAAGGGCCACGCCAACAAGGACCCCGAGAAGGCGGTGCCGGCAGTGCAGCCAAAGGCCAGGCCGATCAAGATCCACAAGCTTGCGACGTTCGAGATCCCGGTGGAGTGGGGTCGATCCGCTCTCGAACTTTTCGGCCGTGTAGTTCCCTGGGTGGAGAACAATGGTGCTGGAAGCTCCGGGGACCACAAGCACAGGGAGAAGCCGGAGAAGAAGCGCAAGAGGTCATCCTCGGACAAGGAAGAGGCCAAGGATGAGGAGCCCCAGGGCAACAATGGTTGTGGCGAAGGTGGGGCCGACAAGGGAGAGAATGCGGGTTCCCCGCCGCCGCCCCACCCGGCTGTGGAGAAGAAGTGGCCCGTAGTGCATTTCATCAGATCATTTGTCATTTGTTGTGATTCATGAAAGCCCCTGTGACGCATTCAAGAATTAATCTAAAACCCGCAACACTGAAACACGAACCCCGAAACCCTAAACCCTGAATCCCGGACTGAACCCGAAACCCTCAACTTATAATAATTAATAATAAGAAAAGTTAATAACAATTTGTATTTAGTAATTAATTAAATAATGTGATATTTCGTAACTGACTAAATTAAATTAGACAAAATAAATAATAAGTAATATGATATAATAATAACAAATATTACTGTAACACTGCAATGCAAAGTCTTGTCTAACTATATAAATAACTGGTTCGATTCTGGTCTAACTATCTAGACTACTAATAAAATCAGACTAGTAGATTAGTTCTTAATTATATTAATAAATTTCGACTCTAGAACATGACGAGGTCCTCCCGGAGACTGGAGCAGGAGCTCTACGGGTCCAAGAGGTCCAGGGGTGGCAGACACCGGGACTATTACAGCCAGAAATACGGCCACCAGTGAATAGTGCATCGTCCCCTGCACAGAAATCGCCAGTAGCCTGGCCTATCTTCGCACTTTCCACTTGTGGACGACCGAGCCGTTCGCAGGCTGCAGCTTCGAGTTGCATTCTTAAAAAGATCCGAGTGCTCTTGGTTTGCTGTCAACACCTCAATGGACCGTTGCAGTTGCAGAGCATAAGTTCAGATTCACGTGAGTACATTCTCAATCCTTGTCTGTTCCAGGAGGCAAGCGGCGACCTCAAGAACCTCGTCGTTGCGGACGACCCGGAGACTCCCAACGGGAAAAAAGGCGGCACGCCGCCGTCTAGCCTCGCTGCGAAATCCAAGGTGTCGGCTGTCAAGGCGGGCAAGAGAAAGGCCAGGCGGGCTGAGATTGAGGCCCCCTCGAGTGTGAAACCTCGTCGTCTGGGTTTTGATTCTGAGACGAAGGAGAGGGACGAGCCCGACGAGGGCGCTCTCGAGTCGAGTTCTGAGAACCAAGAGGAGGAGGAGGAGGAAACCGAAGCACGCCCCGTGAGGAAGGCCCTGAAAGACCTCGCCGAGGAGGATAACGATCTTTTCAAGGACAGGTTTGCCTTGGCCATCCCGGAAACCCCAACTTCCGCGAAGAGCACGCCGGTCGTTCCCGCTATCATGGATGCTCCTGCTCCTCCTTCGGTTTCAAAAAGTGCTTGCTGGGATCAGCTCCCCCGTGCGATCCGCTCCAAGTTGGAGAAGGTGGAGTCGGGTTTGATTGAGGTCCTGCCGACGTCTTTGTCTTCGTGTCCTGGTGGCATTGATGAAACATGTCCAGTGATTCAGTGATGGCATTGGTCCTTCATTTTCCTGTGATGTTTTCTGCTGGTGTTGCTGATTGTTGCTGAGGTCAGACTTCCCTCACTTTCTGGATATCCTCATATCCGAAGACATCTTGAGCCTGAGCGATGCCATGGAGTTCGTTTCGGAAATGGGAGGCTTCTGTGTTGCAAGGGAATGTCTGGTGAACCGAGGTTTTAGGCCAGTCTGTTTCCTGTTCATGCAACTAATTAGTCCAATCTAAGGGAATTGGCTGGAGAGCTTGGGCGAGCAGAGCAAGGTCTGCCAATCCAAGATGACTTTGAAGGGGAAAAAGATCCTTCAGCAATGGCCCGCAGAGTTGTTGAAGGTCACTGGCCTGATGTTGTCTACTAGCGATTGCAATCGGGACCCCCCGGGATTCAGTCACTGCAAAGGCAGCCCAGCTGGACACCGAGAACCCCGAAGCCGCCGAAGCCGATTGAGTTTTGGACAGCCACACATACATGTTGCTACCTGCATATGTTAGTACGATAGCTTGTTATTTACGACTCGAAGAAGCACCCAAGTTGTGCCCGCCCCGCAACTGCAGCAGCCCACGAACAATGCCCGAGGAATTTTGGCAGCCTTGGTGGACGATTTCACGGCAGCCCGGTTTCTGTCACATGCGAATCCATGTGCCTCCTCTTCAGCACACCAGGGGACAGCTGAAGTCTGCGATGGAATCGCACTACTCCAACAGCAGTGAAAATGATTCAGTCAGAGGAAGGAGAATGGCTTTGTTGAGTGTGTTTCTGCTTGCAGCATATAACATCATAGAGAATGATGATAATAAATAACTAACAATTAGATCGGTAGTTTTGGCTATTAATAATTAATGTACTAGAAATAATTATCGCCCAGCCGGCTTTGCCAAACCCTGCCTCTTGGCTTCTACAGAGTAACATGACATGGTTGAGCGGAACCCAGAGGTGCGACCTTGGATGGGTTTTTTTGCGAGCTTGGAAAAAGTCTAAGTTGAATACGCGGCAAGTTCGGGGACCGGTTCTGGCATTGTATCAATCAATAATACAATAATCAATTTATGAAGCACTTGGTTTCCATCCTGGGTTAGAGTTCCTCATAATACTTAATTAATACTCAATCACAGCAGTACATAGAATATCCTAGAAGTTCATCCTGCCTGCATTTCGTGGCCCCCTCGCGACTGACTGGCATCCTTGGGCTTGGCTGCTGCTAGAGGCCGGAGTGCTGTTTTGTGGCTATAGAACAGCAGAACGTCTCAATCCTAAGAAGCAGAAACTGGATCCCGAAGTGGGGCCCAAACCGGTCGGGCTGGGTCCCGGATTTTGCTCCTGGTTGTTTCGATCATCAGTAGTACTGGGCCGGGGTCCTCGGGGTTTTTGGGCGGGGGTCTACGTTCTGTCTGGGGCTTGGTGGCGGGGGTCTACGTTCTGTCTGGGCTTGGGTGCCGGTGTCGTTCTGTCTCCGCTCCTGTACGTTCTGTCTGGGCCCGAAATCAAGTAGCCGTTCTGTGTCGAAGCCGTTCTGTCTGGACTCCAAAAACGGTCTCGTGCGGCAACGAGGCGCACACCGAAGGGCTGAAACAGAACGGCCAAAGGCAAAATGTATTAGAAATGCGATTTTGAGAATGCTTCGAAGAATCGATGCAATTAGCGCGTTCTGTCTCGAGCGTTCTGTCTCAGCAGTCAAGTGGTCGGCACGTGCGGCAACGAGGCGACCACACAACCGCTGATGCAGAACCCTGACCTTCCCAGACCTCTTGATAGAACCCTCGGGTGCTCTTGTCCCGGCAGGCATGGATACCTGGCTGGCCCGGAAGATTCGGGAGCTCGGCGAGCCACTGGGCGGGCGAATTTGGGCAGTTGAGCGTTCTGTCTCGCTTCTGTGCCATGATGCGTTCTGTCTCGATATGAGCTACTCAGGAGCACAGATGAGACCGAGAAACAGGAGATGCTGCGAAGCTGCTGTACCTTTCTGAAAACGGCAGACGCGAAGATATTGAAGGGCCAGTCATTGAGTCCCAGTGTTGGCATAGTATCCATTGCAACTTGGGATGCCCTTTGGCCAAACTATGTGATCCGGAACTTACTAATTTTCAACGGGTTGTTGTTTTTTGCTAGTCCAATCCTGTTTATTCATGATCATGAATCATTCGGCCATGCAACAGAGGCTGTCCTAGATGATTTTCGTGCAAGAGCAGCTGCTGTTGGACTCATATTACGACCCCCCCTTCGCGACTGGCACGCTGCATCTGAAACCGATAAGACGACCAAGCAAGACCTGCCAAGCACCTCTACGACTGACACCTCTCCCGACTCTGGATCTGGAGACTACACCGAGTGTCGAGTAGGTTTCGTTCGAACCAAAATAGGAAAGCAAGGAGTCTTGCAGCTGCACAGGGCCGCTCGACTTAATTAAACCCAGTCAATCACTTTTTGTTTTATTGTTCTCGGTTGCAAGAATGTTGACCCCTCAGAAGCAGTCTCTCATTTAAATTTATCTATTCTAGGGGCCCGAGACAGGTGGAAGAACTTCTGCCACACTCACGTGGCTACGGCTGGCTGCTGAGAGTGGAAGAAATCTGGCCGATGCTGGCTCGGTCGCAGCCCTTCCACAATTGGTTCTGCAAAGCGAATCTGAGTTTGCATTGTCAGTGCCCGATATACATAGATAAATACACAATTGGGTTTAGCAGTCTGTTGCTCGGCCTCTATTATTTTTTGCCATGGCTCAGGAACATTACTGTCGTCCAGGACCTTGAAGAAGCATGGCAGCTGCCTCTGAAAAGACACATCATCAGGCCCAAGGATTACAAAGGTAAAAAAGTTCAACAAGAAGACATACCCATCAGCATTCGATTCAACGGAGTCACTTGCCCCGGATTCCTGCTCATGGCTCCTGGGATGCGATTTGGTTTGGGGTCGGTTGTGCTGGAAGAAGCACCAGGCACTGGAAGTATAATTCACACCTGCCCGCAGCTGCAGGTCTCCTGTGTCCTACAGCAACGGGGCTGTAGTCCGGACCATCAGAAGGCAGCTCTTGCCGCTATTGAGCTGTTCGCCAACAACCTGTGTCCAGCGGACCTAGAGCTTCATTTACTTCCGAACTTGCCAGTCTGATTCTTGTCTCATGTTTACTCAGCTGCACCTTCTCATTGCTGTGCTGTCCTGAGGAAATCTGGTGCATCTTTGCTGCTTTGCTGTTATGCCGAGGCAAACTGCTAGTGTCGGAGTATGAAGTGAATCTGCATGCCTGGGCTGCGACCATGGATTTCTTGGGGGTGACACAAAGGCGGGCTTTCCTGAACTCGTTCGCAATTTTCCAATGTCCATGTCATTTATAGAATAGAACCTGAGTAAGACCGGTGTCCAGGTGGCAAAAAACGAAGTTGTTCTCGCTGGCAACGCAGAAGCTACACCGAGGAAGCAACATGCTTTGTTATATAAGTTTCATTTCTTGTGGTTGGACACGAGTTTGGTGCTGTTGTTGATGACAGGACTTCGCATCGGCACCGTGGTTTGGTTTCTTTTGAGGATTAGCCACGAAGACATGTTGTGCCAGGCTGGTCATGTGAAACACTACTACGGCTAAGACTTGTGGAGTCCTGTGCACTGTTCATGCTTGGGCAGTGTTGCAGGGACGAGTCGATGCAGCCCGAGTGCAGAAACGGATGATTCACGGATTGTCACAGCTGGCAGAAGACCATCTGAGCGCCGTGGTTCTGGATAAGCTTCCAGAAGTGTGTGCCACAGATGAATTTCATCCGTGCCGCAAGCTCCTCGGCGAGCCAGCAGTGCCGCACACAGTGTTTTTGCTTTTGTAGTGCGACACGTTCCCAATGCCAATTGCAGGAATGGCAGATTGCTCCGCAACAATGCGAAACCGAAGCATGTTGCGAGCATGGAGCGGTTCTTGTGCAGAGCCGCCGGCACATTCTCCACGTCACATGACGAGACGTTGGAGGCCTTAGGCTTGGCTGATATGATTCCGTCCCATCATCACCGGCTTCTTAGTCTTGGATATGTAGCATGTTTCTGATTTCTGACCAGAATTTCCAGTAAAAGATGTTAACTCTTGTTTGAGGAGGGAGCACTTTTCATTATCCGAGGCTGGCCAGCGATTTCCTCTACAGGTATTGGCAAAAATCAGCGATGGAGCTGCACAAGGCTCATTTCTTTCTAAGACAATGATTCGCGAGTCCAGTTCCGACCAAGTTGGTGCATTTGTTTAGTTGCCTGTGTTTCCAAAACCCTCCCACAAGCCAACCACGCACAAAGTATTTGCCAGGATCTGAGTCAACAGCCGTTTCGTTCGCTGGAGCTAATAGTGGATGCATCCCCGAAGGGGAAGCTGGATGTAGCTTGCCAAATTATTATTGAGTACAAGCTGAACTGATGGGTTCGCGCAAGGATTTGCCATGGCTACGATCCAATCCAAGGTCTGGTCTCCGATTGGCTATGCTGGTAGAGTTGCAGCGGCCTTGCCGCTTCAGAGACTCAGTGCTCTGGCTGTGAGCACAGTCTCTGTGCAAACGAAATTGGAAGAGGGCCAGAAAATTGTGGACAAGTTTGCCGAGACTGCTGCAGGGGAGAAACACGCCAACTTGAAGAAGATGCACCTGGGCAGTACCCAGACTAGGTTCTGCTCGCCTTTTTCCCCGTTTGATTTGGAGTGCCAATCCCAGAATCAACCCATGCTGCTTCAGGCCCAAGGCGATAAGCAAAATCCGCCAGAAGAAGCTTTCTGCCAGAGAACAGATGAGAGCATGTATGCACGTCTTGTCGGTGCTTGACCTGGAGCTACTTGTCGGAGATCAAGTGTTTCGTCCGTTGGACACAACACGGGGCGAGAAGAGGATGTTGGAGGATGGCAAAGCTTGGCTGTGGGACCCGGCCACAGGTGAGGCATCTTGGGACTGCCTCACACCAAGGCACCAGTCCCACCTCAGACTCATCCTGGCTCCAGACGAGGGCTCTACGCTCTGGTCAGCATTTACCTTCCTTGCTGGCAAAAATTTCAAGGTGAATTTCGTTCGCGATGAATTGCCACTGCGGTTGCAGATGGGGTCATTTTCTTTCATTCATTTAAATAGTTCAATTCCACCTCCTGTGCACCCTACCCAGATCCCTGTGCCGAGGCACAAGTTGCAGAACCACTATCTGCGATTGTTTCAGTGCAACAAAGCCGTCAAGAGAGCCTCAGCTGAAATGAGCCGAAAGTAACGTTTCAACAGACAGTGCTCTAGTTTCAATCAATCAAGTGGCCTCACATGACAGTGCTATTGGTTTTGGCGATGCTTACATCTGGCGAAGGAACCTGGGCACTCAGTGAGTGGCTGATGAAGGCCAAACGTGGTCCTTGGGACACATGCAAAATTGGAGCTTCCTGGAAACAGGCTTGTGACCGGTATCTACAGGTGGTTGCTTGGCTTGCACGTCACCGCCTAGTTTGGTTTGTCATAATTATTACATGACTCTGGCAGAAAAAAATATTGTCAAGCTTCATTGCACCCCCTGTCAATGTGGAGCTTGTGCTTGCAGGCCCATTCTGGGGATTTGCTGCAAGAGCTGTTTGCTTCGTCCATTTTGGCAGAGTGTCTTGGAATGGAACTTGCTGTGTGAGCCGAATCGTCTGTAGTGCTATTGCAGTTGCGATAGTCACAGAGAGTCTCCTTGCGACAGTTGGGTGCCCGCACGAGGAATGGCTGGGACCCCAACGCCGAAGGCCTTCACGCATTTGAGAATGTTTGCGAAGTTCTTGCGAAAACAAGCAAGACCCTGGGCCGCCTTTGTTAGATGGTGCAAGTCTCGCTGCAATTTCGATGCAAGCTTGTTACATCATTTCTCGTTATTCAGAAGTACAGTAAGGAGAGTCTCCTCGTCCTACAAAGCCGGCCGGTGGTGCAGTTGGGGCTTTTGTGCAGCAGGCTTCAAAAAGTACTACAGTGCGACACTGCTTGTGGTACTTTGGGGTTGCCTCGAGGCTGGGAAGATACGACGAATGCTGCCCAGATTTAGACATGGGTTGACGGTTGCTGTCCCGTTATCAGGAGGGTATCAACCCTTTCGCGGATATGGGGGTGGCTGCCACTGGAGACGACGGGCAAAAGTACAACCGCATCATGGACTGCTGCATCCGGGCTTCTCAGTAGCACCGAAGACGAAAAAACAGGGGCTACAGGGTTTCACGCGATCGTTGGTGTCCATATGATTTTCTGTCGCACGGCGAGGCCCTTGTTGACGAAGAGGCCCACAAGCTGTTCGAAAGCCTTCAGTTCTTCACGGAGCCCTGGTGTGAGATGTGCCAATGGCTGGCTTCTAGATTGCACGTGTAGATTGATGATGTATGCAGCCTGCAAGCCTTGTTTGTTATGTTGCTTGTTTCCATGTGCAGAGTCAGCCAGAACCGCTTGCCTCATCTAAGCAATCCAACAAGACGCAGTTGGATGCTTTACACGAACATACAGCTTGGTGCAACTCTGCCGGTTTCGAAACTCGACTCCGGCGAGTCCTGGAGGAGGGCCTGGGCCCGCAAGGCATGGCCTTTGCAACTACGGGGGCAGACCTCAACGTGGATGGTCTGGTTACTCGGATGGGATCATGTTATATATTCAATTCGTTAATTAAATTAATAGTAATTCATGGATCTATTCGGAGTTGCATTGCATGACACCATTGCTCCCGTAGCGGCCGCTCCGCTGAAACTGAATCAGAAACACCGCTTTGTTCACTGTAGAGAACACTGCACCCTCGGGCTCAATGGCCAATCCGACACATGAGTCTTCCAGCCCAACTAATTTCGTATTTCTCGTGCTTGACATGTATGAATCATGTACTGCCTGCGGCTAGTCCGCCCAGGACAAACAGCGGCGGCTACTCCGCCCGGGACAAACAGCGGCGGCTACTCCGCCTGGGACAAACAACGGCGGCTACTCCGCCTGGGACAAACAACGGCGGCTAGTCCGCCTGGGACAAACAACGGCGGCTACTCCGCCTGGGACAAACAACGGCGGCTACTCCGCCTGGGACAAACAACGGCGGCTACTCCGCCCTGACTAGTAGATGTCGAGACTAGAGCTGGAGAAACTTCAAACATCGGCGGATAGTCCGCCCTAGACTAGACTAGACAAACAACGGCGGCTAGTCCGCCAGTGGTGTATTTATCGTATTTTTCCAAGCAGTGACAATCAACGGCGGCTAGCCCGCCTATGACTCATTCCAATACTATTAGTAAATTAGGTCCTGGTGGGTTTACATTTAAAACTAATTTATTAATCATTATTTAATTAGTATCTATTGATGATATTCAATTAGTCAGTAAATAAATAAATAAATAAGTTTGATTGAATCGAATCAATGTATGATTTATTGATGTATGATTGGTACTGAAATAAATGTAAACCGACACGATTTGCGGATTGAGTGGAATTATTACCATGTGAGCCTAGTTTTCAATCATGACTCACTTGATTGATTTCCGTCGAGTCGACACTAGTCTAGTGAAGCCGAAGCCAGCAAGCTCAAGGTTTTACGAGTGGTGAATCGACGATGCAGAGTGCAACAAGACCTCCTGCGAGACCACTTGGACATTTGCTTGCTTAACTTGTACGAACTCGGGTCTTACCAGCTGTACCTCTCCTCTGCTCCGGCTTCCAGTGCCTGTCTGAGCTTGAAAGAGTCCGCGACAGTCCCCGATGTCAAGGCCGTGCAGGCCAGGGTCTTGACAGACATGGAAAATGAATGGGCTACCGTTCTGAACATGGAGCAGCAGAAGAGCACGGGCGAGCTACTCCACAAACTCTGCCCGCACGTGCTGTGGCAAGTGTACCGCGAGAGCATGGTTGCAGTCGAAGCTGATGCTTTCAAGCTGACACAGACTGTTCGCGACCTCGTGCTGGGGTGGTACCCACGGCTTAGTTTTTCTGCGAATGTCGAGGACCAGTTTGCCGCGATGCAGGACAGTGTGCGCCGTGGATCCAAGGGTGGGTCAGCTGGGATCACGAATCTCAATACTGTGGGGGTCAAGGCACTCTACTCCAAGCTGCTGGATGGAGATAACCAAGCCACTTCTGTGAAACTGCAAGACTCCGACTGGGAAGGGACAACTGTGCGAGCATTGAAGCAGAAACTGTTTCAACCGGAAAGTTTCACTGGAAGAGCCATGGCTGCAAATAGTTTGCCGCCTTCGGAAATATACGCACATGAATTCCGACGAACAAATCGAGAGATTCGTGTACCGTGTACCTGTGTAGACCTCTTCGTGTGTGTGTCTTAGCATTAAACACCTTGTGCTGTGTCTTCTTGCTCTGACATTCGTAGATTGCAACAACCAATGAATGATTCATCATGACGCAAGACGAAATTTGCTTCGTAACCACCGCCAATCACAAATTAAAAATATGTCATTTGACATATTTAATATACAGCCAGTATTGTACATACAGTCTAGGTGTAGACAGTAAGAAACTTAATGTAAAACTGATATATCCTTGTCAGCACAGGCAGGGGCCGCAGAATTATCGGAAAACACCAAGCTAAAATCTTTGTGCTGGTCGACTGTGCATGGGCAGACAGATTCAAACTACGTTGGGCAGACCGCTAAATCATAAATAGATTAATACTGACCCTTAATTTAATTTAAGTCCCTAGCTCGAAATCATAGTAAATCAATTTAATTCTGAGTCCCACGAGTAGTATTATTTGAATCATTACATTGAAAGAATACACATTGCTAATTCAGTGTTCTTCTGTCCCGGGATTTAAATTTAATAATAAGCAATGATAATAATGTCGTTTGATTTATTATTTAATTGTTCGATCACGAACGACTAAGGCTCAGATGTGCATTTGGACAGCATTCTGACTGGTGCATCCGGCACGTCGGCTCACCAGCACAACAAGGGGACCTTGAACTACATGAGGGCTTTTCTCGAGGCGCGAAAGCTGCTGGGTGTAGATTGTGAGAATTGCTTTAAGTTAATTTATATACAAACAAGAATTTCATTTCTTCGATGCATTTGGTAGCCGTTGCAACCAGCTCCTGATGATTGGTAATGATTTGCTGATTCTGACTCAAATTAATTAATACACTAAATATTCACTGTATCGGTGTTTAATGGTTATTGTGGTTACAACTAATTAATTCTGAATTAATGAATTATTGCAACCCGATGCCATTCTTGGATTCGTTGCGGTGAAACCTGATGATGAGGTGTGGAATGGATCCGGCGGATGCTTCGGCATCGTTCTGGGTTCCGGCGGCCATCCAGAGAGGCATGCTTGTGAAGGTGAACACGTCTTATCTGCTGGCCTTGGGAAGCAATCCTGGTTTGCTGTGTGTGTCTTGGAATTAATTGATTGATTATTAACTTAACTAATATGCATTAAATCATTGCTGATGAGTATATATATATATATATATATTCAATAAATTAGTTTAACTCAAGGATCTTTCTCCTAGCTTGCACAGATTGACACATTAATACACCAAGCCAAATACTTCTAGTCTAGTCTAGTAGTTGTTATTGAATTCGTGGATAATAGGCCTCGGTCGTTTGGAAAAAGAAGACTTGAAATGAACCTTTCATATCTCAAACGCGAGAAATCGCCCCGCCCCGCTTTGCCTTTTAAAACCTGCCAGGCCGTGAAGCTACGGGAGATTGAGCTGTACTTTGAGGGGAAGCTGCCACCCGAGACAGTCGACGAGAACAGCATCGCCAAAAATCCGGCCCGGTGGGAAGCAGAGGATGTCCTGGATGATGGCGAGAGATGCAAAGCATTGGTGCTTGACTTGGCGAAGCCACTTGGATGATAAATTGAGTTTGTAATTAATTAATTGTACTTTCCATATTATCATATGAAATGTAAATAGATAGTCGTACAACAAAACTAAACTAGTAACAATAATCATAGATAGTAACTTCAATTAATTTGTGGTTGTTGGCTGTGATTAAACTGTAGCAAACACCGACTCAAGATTATCGGTTCTCGATATTTTGCTATTTTCTGAAGAGGCCGGTGCTTCATCGGACCTTGGTGGATTTTAGCCAAGTGCCTCGGTCTCAATTGTCAACCAGTGTTACTACTGCTAGATTATTGATTATAATACCATAAATAGATTTAGTATAGTTTAAATAATCATAACAATTATATATGGCAACTGATTATCTGGTTATTAATATTCGGAACTTATTTTCGTCATAATTATTATATAATTATTAAATAATTGGTTTTCACTAATGTTTAGGACTGGAGTTTTTATGTATTTGGCACAGCATTCTGCAGACAGAGGTGGGGTGCTACTCTTACACAGTGCACTGCTGCAGCAACGCCCTGGCAAGCAAGGTCGGCAGCAGCATTGTTTTCAGAAGAGCAGCCCACCCAAAGTCGTTGGTAGTGCAGCTCATTTTGAGTCGCGATATCTGCAACGTGTCGAGTGAGAACCTCTCCAAGATACTCCAGATTTATGGGTCGCGACTGAGAAAGAATGCCTCGAAGTCTGCGAAGATCAAGGCAATTCTGAAGCTGGATGCAGTGAAGAACTGCATATCCGAGCAGGATGCCGAGGACATCGTGAACAAGTGTGATGACATGGATGCCAAGCGACGATCCCGAAGTGCAAATGCAGAGCAAGATGAAGATGAGGATGAAGAGCAGCCCGAGGCCTTTGGAATCATAAGAAATGAGATCAACAAATATAAAACGCGCTGCAACCACCGGGTGTACCCCTCCGAGATCTGCTAAACAGATAAGAATCAAAAACACTGAACGACACAAACTCTTATCACAAAAGGCTTTCGACATGAATGGGGAGCCAGATCCTGCTTTGGCCGCTGCGAATGAGCTCTTGGCTTTGATCGGAGATGATGATGATGAGGCCGGCCCATGGGGTCTGGGGTATTAATACTCACTTTTATTATATAATTAAATGTACGACGAAGCTAGTCTGGTCAAGTCTTTAAAATTAGAATGGTTCAGTCACATGGTGCTGCAATTTAACTAGCCACGGGACTAACATACATCTAAATCTATAGCTACATCGATAGTATTTATACATTTACTTTATTACGTAGATGGTGTTTGTTATCGAATGGTCCAAGTCTATAACTATATCTGTATCTGTACCTAAGAGTCTAGTCTTTTCCTATAACAGTCATATCTACATCGATATCGATATATCTACATCAACTAGACTATCTCCATTTACAACATATGAACATAACTTTGCACAAGCATTAGTTAATATATGCTAGTACATACATGCATGCATGCATGCATGCATACACATATATATATATATCTACATAATGCACACATGCATAGATTGTTACATAGTTATTTATAAATGCAAATTGGCACCCATTTCCAAATTCTCCTCCAAGCCCTTCAATCGACAAGGAAGAGCCAACTGGACCACCGCAAGCTCCAGAGGCGGCAGCTGCTGAGGACCGTGAATCCACAAAGTTAGTTTTAAAAAAAACACATTGTTTGCAAGGAGCCGCCTGCTGCTGAAAACGGAAACGCTGCTGGGTCTGGAGAAAACGAGGCGGTTCGCGAGTCGAGGCGGTTGCTTTCTTCGGCCTCTGCGATCCCCAAGCACCTGACTGACAGATGGCCGGTCATGGACGGCGTTAGCATTGCTCACACTGTGCACCGAGATCAAACGAGACCCCTGTTTCAAGCTCGTTTGCTGACCGGCAAGTTTGCAAACAAGTGCCTTGGCGGTTCATTTCAGTGTGTTTCAGTTTTCAATAGTTGTACGAGAAATTCGGTTCAAGTAGATTCTAGACTCCCACTGCCTCGGAGTTCTTTTCAATGATCCTGCACAGGGGTTCATGTTCTGCGAGCTACAACGGCGAGCTTCAAAAGGATGTTGTCGACCTGGCCAAGACGGATACAAAAATGATGACGGCAGACAGACGAACACAAATGCAAGCGTACTATATGGTGTGAATGTGGGCCAGCGAGGCCATGAAGGACAAACGGAGACGGACGGAGTGAAAGTCTGCTTGGACCGGAGGTTGAGAAGCGGGGACAAAGCAGGCATGGAATTAATAAATGAATAAAGTAGTATGGATGAACTCTTCATAAGCTGTACTCGGCTGTGTCATTTCAATGCCTGCTGCTCAGGGGTTTGTGTTCCGCATTGATACAGATGCGATGGAGCCTTTGCAACCGGGGACGGCGACGAAAAAAAAGCGCGACTTTCGAGAAGCATTGTAGCCGACATAAACAAGCTGAGACAGAACCATTAATCGAGACACCCCGGTCGTTGAGACAGACTGGCTATGGACACCCATGATTAATCAGGTTCCTACATTAAACCCGAAACCGAATCCATCTCCGAAATCGCTAAACGCTACACCCTAAACCCTTAAACCCCTAACCCCGAAACCCTAAACCCCAAGCCGGGAAGAAGCTCTGTGGCCCGAAACCCGGTCTTTGTGGTCTTGCACAGTTTTCTCGGGACCCGGCCAACTGGTTACTATAGGAGCCTTAAATGAATAGTCACCTATGCCATTTTGAGGGTTCCTTATTATGATTATAGTATAATTGAGCCCCAAAACCCTATGCCCCTATACTACTTGTGAAACGGGTTGGAGGCAGACATCGGAAGATATGGGGAACCTGAACGCTTGCACGCGGGGTTTAGGGGAGAAGTACTGGCTGAAAGAATTTTTCTGTGGAGAGAAGGAAGCACGAACTGGAGCCTCACACCCTTACTCCAAAGACCCGACAATGGTCCCAGACCCGGGCATCGAGAAAGTAGATCCCCTAATTTGGGGCGATATACTACCAAGGGTACTTTATAGGAACCCCCATCAAGGGATCTGCTTCTTGGATTCTCCCGGGGGTCTGGGTCTGTAGTGCAGTGTGCACAGGTGCAACAGATCTTGTTCGGCTTCTACTTTGATCCCAAGGCTGCGAATCAAGAGGCCATTTGCCCACATCATTCCAGGAGAATCCGTGCACCGTACGAGTCGGAATGATTCGGAATTATTACGTTGAATGATGAAAAGGTCCCTATTTGGGAGTTTCCGAAACTTAGGGGTACCTTATTTGGGGGTCCTTATAATAAGGATCCTACAGTTTACGGTAATTACTATATTTAGTGTCCCCTATTTTCGGAAACCCCTATTTCTGACCGGAGCATGAACTAACTGCGTAGTGCCAAGCTCCAAAAACCGCAACCCTGCAACATAGTATTTCAGAGTTTTCGAGATGGGGTACAGAGGTTTCTGGAGTTTTGGTCTCTGCGTGTATAGAGGTTTGTAAAAAGTATCTTTTCAAGGGCTCTCCACAGTGGGGTTTCTTTGAAGGGGTTTGGGGTTCCAGGTTTTGCTAAGGGTCTTGATATTCCAACGACCGGAGCACTCTTGCACCTGGCATCCTTCATGGTCATGGGCGGCTAGGTTTTCGGTTTGGGAATTAGGGCCTTAGGGTTTACTGTTTGGGGTTCAGGAGGGTTTTGAGAATTTTTCTGTGGTAGGCTGCCATTGTATGAGCCATATAGCAATTAAGCGGATTCCGAATGTTGGAGTTTCAGCTTGCCCTAAACTGGCACTTTTCAGAGACAACTAGGTCCGGTTTGGCTTCCTTCTCTTCACACTCCTGCATCATTGGCCGCGAGAGTTTTCACACATAAGACATAGGGCTGCCTTGCTACCCTCGTGCGGCGGAAGACTTGGTGGTTCGGAGAACCGGACGCGCTGCGCTGTTGGCACAGACTCCCCCTGAGCAGATCGAGCAGCCTGAAAAGAAGAGGGGCTTTCACGATACAGGACCCGAATTCAACCTTAGCACAAAACCTGTACACCCCCCAACCTTGACACAAAGCCTCTACACCCAAGCCTAAAACTACGCAAAAGTATGAACTTTACCAGGCTCAGCTCCGCGTCTACGAGTACTTCGGGACCTTCACGCGCTCCTTGCTGCACCCCTTTCGCAGTGAGCCGGGTCAGGGATCCACGGCTTGGGGTTCAGGGTGTGGGGGTGACAGTCTTTAACGACGGGCTCCTTTCATTCAAGGTGTAGGGCTTACGGGAATTAGCAGCAAGTGCAGTGGGTTGGTTGCATCATGCAAAGGATTGGTTCTCCAAGCCCTATGGACTCTGGACAGCTAGCTATGACACGAAACTCCCTGAGATCATGGGTAAACCCCATGCCAAAACCCTATACCCTAAACCCTAAAAAAGCGCGCACTCACACACACATTGCAATCTGAGGCCCGAATCCGGTCCCATAACACCGTCACCCTTCAGCCGCCGAAAGATGCGGGACTTAGCCAACACAACCGATGTACGCTGTTTAGTAGAGTCTACCATTTCCGGCGGTACCGAGGCCAACAAGAGCTGTTGCGAAGAAGGGTGTCACTAGTTGATCAGGTACCCAGAACAAGCTGGATCACATCAGAGAACCTCCAGCCCCAACGACTTGGAACTACTTGCAGCGGTTGTGTTAGCTTCCACTAAGACTTAAAGCATACAACAGCTACGGGCAGGGAGCCGTAAGCTCTGAAAGCCTTATATACTTCAAACGCAAGTCGGGCCCCAGACCCCTAAACCCTAAACCCACGACCCTAAACCCCTAAATCCCTAAACCCCTAAACCCTTAAACTCACAAACGATTACAGGTCCCTCTTCGAGCTCACACTTGCCAACTGGCCTCCGGTATGCAGGCTCCTGGTAGAGGAGGCCTCTCGTAGCAAAACGCGAGGGACGGCATGGTCGCTGCTCTTTGTAGGGGCCTTAATAACTATGAATACATGGGGCTTTGGGTAGACCCTAAACCCTAAACCTTAAGTTACTCTAACGAAACGTCTGTGTTGAAGAAGTTATGATGTTACCGGGCGCAATTAGGGTCCTGAGGACTACCACTTTGAGTTCGACTCTTCAGTTGCAGAGTCTCTGGGGTTTAGAGAGGGAGCTATCGAGATGCTCTAACCCCAAAACTATAAACCGAATCCCCAAAAGCCTTACGTAACCCTAAACTCTGAATCCTAAACCCTCATGCAGAGCCAAAACCCCGTTCCAGTAGGGTTTAAGCATATCTCGGGTCCTCTTTGTCGGAGATCCCAAGCTGTCCCATCCCAGCCTGAAGACGTGGTTTAGCTTCGCGATTCGCAGCTTCAGGGTTGAATATTTCGGATGTTTGGTGTCGCCCTTGCGTCAGGGTTCAGGGTTTGTGAAGTCCTTGTCTCCCATTTCACGTCTTCCTAATAAGTAGGCGGCGTGTGTGTTGTTTGATTCCGTTTCTGCATGCCCTATCTGGCCCTATCTAAATCTTTAGAACATGACGACATAGACATGCAAACCATCAATCTATGTTTTGGTCCTTTTGATGGGAGAGAGGGTCCTATTCCTTTAGCACGAGTCTCTATGCCTTCAGCCATCGTGAAAGCACCGCGCAAGTTCAATTTTGAGATCGTAGGCTTTCATCGTGTCCCTTGGCAAGGTCCGCGTTACCAACCATGCCCCTGTATCATCTGTTCGTTAAGGAGCAAGAATGTGCTAAGCAGACCCTGCTCCGTAAACCCCGAACAACAAATCCAAAACGCAGAAGTCTGGGCTACCTGAAGGGATATGCTGTTACTGTTGCTACGTCGTAAGATGCTTCAGCCGATAGCCAGAAGAGAACAAGTGTTGAGCTACCGCAGAAATGGCGCTTTTGCAGTTCTGCTAGATTCAGGGGCATTTAGGGCTGAGGTCTCTTCATAAGGAGTTTAGTATGGTGACCGTCACTACTTTGAGGGCCTCTGCCGGCCCTTCACCGGAGGTCAGCGAGTGGTGGCTCTTAATGTGCTTGCTTCACAAGCTTACCATGGGTTTCGCAGTGATTGGTGCCACCTGGACATCCGAAGGGGAAAGCTGTGCTTCGATAGGTAAAGTTCAGGGTTTATGGGATTTATAGGGAGCATCACTCCAAGAGATCAGGCGGTGGAAATGCGACATCGTATTGAAGAGGGTGCACAATAGGGAGACATAGCATTGTCCTTTATTCCTTGAGCCCGAGACCGTAAACTCTCCGCACTCCACAAGCCCTTCGGAACAGATTGCGACTGCAAACTCCACGCATCCTAGTAATCTCAAAACCGCAAAATATCAAAACCCGCAGCCCTTTGCCCCAAGACTGTGCCGAAAGCTCTTGACCCTAAACCGCAAGCTCTTAAAGCTCTCGAACCATCTGCGCCCCAAGACCCCTGACTTACCTGTAGTCTCCGTTGTAGTTCCTTTTTCTGGTTAACCAAAAACTCTATTATGGGATCCTAACCATAAAATTGGTTAACCAAAAAAAGGAACTACAATGGAGACTAATGTTGGATCCCGATTAACAACCCCCCCCCCCCCTCCCCCCGCTGTCAAGGTTAGCCCGCTTAAACTTGTTAATGGGTTCAAGTTTTTCCCGGCCCCCCCGATTATGTGGGGATGGGGTTACTTATTAAGTATAGTAGTAAGTAGATAGAGAGTACTTAGTAAAGTGTTGCAGTCGTACAATAGGAGTAGAGTAATATAGTAGTAGTACAGTAGTATAGTAGTAGTACAGTAGTATAGTAGTATTACAGTAGTATAGTAGTAGTACAGTAGTACAGTAGTACAGTAGTAGTACAGTAGTATAGTAGTATTACAGTAGTATAATAGTAGAACAGTAGTATAGTAGTACAGTAGTTGAGTAGTAGTATTGAAGTCTAGTAATAGAAGCAGTACAGTAGTATAGTATTATTACAATAGGGGGTTGGGGGTTTGAAGGGGTTCAAGGACTTGAGGGGGTTAAAGGGGTTGAGGGGGTTGGGGGTTTGAAGGGGTTCAAGGACTTGAGGGGGTAGGGGCTTGGGGGTTCAAATGTGGCTGGCCATGAGCTTGCCATCAGCTCAAGTGCCCGCATAAGCGCCGCATCCCCACCCATTGACCGTTAGGTCATTTTCAAGGGCCTGCAAATCCCTGGTCCCGGGCCGGACCCTGTTAATCAGGGGGGGTTTCCTGCTATTCTGGGGGGGTCGGGGCCTGCAAAGGGGTAACTTGACAAACCTACTCTTTTTATATACGGTTTAATTAGGGAACCACCTGTTTCTGGCAGCAGAAGATATCACCGAAATCCCAGGGATCCCAAGGCCAGGGATCTCTGACCCTTCCATCTCAAAGCTTCGGGCTTTCTAGGTCAAAGCAAAGGGCCTGCAAATCCCTGGTTCCGGGCCGGACCCTGTTAATCGGGGGGGGTTTCCTGCTATTCTGGGGGGGTCGGGGCCTGCAAAGGGGTAGCCTTGGAAAACTTGACAAACCTACTCTTTTTATATACGGTTTAATTAGGGAACCACCTGTTTCTGGCAGCAGAAGATATCACCGAAATCCCAGGGATCCCAAGGCCAGGGATCTCTGACCCTTCCATCTCAAAGCTTCGGGCTTTCTAGGTCAAAGCAAAGGGCCTGCAAATCCCTGGTCCCGGGCCGGACCCTGTTAATCGGGGGGGTTTCCTGCTATTCTGGGGGGGTCGGGGCCTGCAAAGGGGTAGCCTTGGAAAACTTGACAAACCTACTCTTTTTATATACGGTTTAATTAGGGAACCACCTGTTTCTGGCAGCAGAAGATATCACCGAAATCCCAGGGATCCCAAGGCCAGGGATCTCTGACCCTTCCATCCCAAAGCTTCGAGCTTTCTAGGTCAAAGCCAAGGGCCTGCAAATCCCTGGTCCCGGGCCGGACCCTGTTAATCGGGGGGGGGTTCCTGCTATTCGGGGGGTGTCGGGGCCTGCAAAGGGGTAGCCTTGGAAAACTTGACAAACCTACTCTTTTTATATACGGTTTAATTAGTGAACCACCTGTTTCTGGCAGCAGAATATATCACCGATGAGGGTATGCTCCTCGCATACTGGATGAGGAAGGAAGCCCGCAGATTGGGCAGGAACATTGCCCCTAAGTACAAGCTCAGCTCTGCTGGACATGCGCTGGTCTAATGAGGAAAAGTCTGCCATCATGAGTTCTTTACGGTTTAGGGCCCTAAATCCTTACTTCGGGGATTTTCGGGGATGGCCCCGTCTAATCGGGGGGGGTTTAGGCGAGCTCCGGTACTATAGGGGTGGGGTCTAATGGACTTCTTCATTAAGCCCATGACATGCCCGGGACGGCCCCGTCTAATCCGGGGGGGTATCTTAATCGGTAAACGACATTATAGGTAGCATCATTATTCCCAGAAGCCCATAGGCATGAATCCTCCCACGGTTTTTCAGGGTTTAGGGTTTAGGGTGTTTAGGGTTTGGGTTTGGGTTTAGGGTTTAGGGTTTAGGGTTTGGGGTTTGGGGTTTAGGGTTTAGGGTTAGGGTTTTGGGTTTAGGGTTTAGGGTTTAGGGTTTGGGGTTGGCTGCTAGACTTAAGCTGCCCTTACCAGATCCCTTATAAATCCCTGAAACAACCCTTGAAGAACTTTATTCTAGTTCGTACGGTCCCTTAGAGAAGATCACATGATGGTCCGCTTTAGGGCTTGGGGGTTACGATAGCTATAATTAGTCTGATATTCGCCGAAACTCTATTACGGCCCCAGGTGATCAACGCGGTTCTGATGCAGGAAACCTTCAAGGTGGCCTACTTGGACGACACCGTGGCTGGGCGTAACGGTTGTAGGGGTTTGGGGTTTATGGTTTAGGCCGAAACCCCAGATTTTGACAACTGTCTCTTCTTTTCCCCTCTGCTGTTCTTCTTTCAATTTGGCACATGTGGCAGCCCCCTGTGCAACAAGATGCGTCTGCCCGAGATCTTGATCTGATCCACGGAAGTGTTGCAGGGAAGGCTTCAACACAAGCCCCCAACCGCCCAAAGCTTCTAGTCCTTAGGGGTTTGGGGTTTAAGGGTTGAGGGCTGCAAGGGACCGCGACAAGACCAGAACTCCAAACCCCAAGGCAAAGAATAACTAAAGCTCAACTCGAAAAAAGAAGAACCGAGTATATGGGGCTCAAGTCCTTTTTTGGGGGGAGGGGGGGTTAGTGATAGTAAGCTGTACTGTATCGGGACTAGAACTAATTATCAGGTCTTCAGACATCAAGGAAAAACTCCAAGCAAGGTGATGGTGCGCGAGAAGATGCGCACCATGCGCGCGCACGTGGCCAAGATGTCAGAGCTCTTCCATGAAGCTGCGCCTCGGCTGCAAATCCACACCAAACGACCGTCAGCATCCTTGTAACAGTTTAGGGTTTAGGGTATATCTCTAGCATCCTTGTAGCAGTTTAGGGTTTAGGCTATATCTCTAGCATCCTTGTAACAGTTTAGGGTTTAGGGTATATCGGTATATCTCTAGCATCCCTGTAAAAGTTTAGGGTTTAGGATGTATCTCTAGCAGCATCTGCCTCAAACCCTATCCAAACTGTTGTTGTATGTTACAACTCAGCCCAAACCAAAGCACTAATCCCTTAACCCTTCAACCCGTATAGTAGCTCTAAAGCCCTACACCCTAAACACCATAATGTTGGTCCCTTTCAAGACATTCCTAAAGGAACCGTAAACCAGAGGATACCTCCGGAGATGGCAAGCTGGACTTTGAGGAGTTCAAGCAGATCTTGAAGAAGCACGAGGCCACAGAAGTTTTAGGGATTAGGGTTTATACGCAGAGGCCCTAAAGTAGTTCCTTCTTGAGAATTACCGTATAATATTTTATAGGAATACCTGAAGCTGCTATCATGGGTGGATGCCAGCAGTAGCAACTCACCTCGGGTGGAGGTGTCAGGCTGCAGAGCTTGTAGGCTTACGGCTTAAACCCTCAACCTCCTGGTCGATCGGACCTTCTGCTCCCAGGGGGTTCGGGAGCTAAGGAAGGGGTCGGAATAATTCCCGCTACTAGTCCTGAGGGTTCTTCATGTTTATCATGATGGTATACTATAACCCAAGACCCTCTTCTTTTTTCTTATCATTATAAGGCCCCTATATTGAGGTTCAGTTTCTCAGTCTCAGGCTCAACTGACCGAAGGAAGTCTACTCAGCATACCTTGCATCCGGTAAATACTTGCTCTCGTGACAACTCTTTCTGAATCTGCTGTGCAGAATCTTCCCTGAACCCTACTTGGAGGTTCATGGGTAGTTATAAGTAGGGTTATAGGTCCTCGAATATGAGTTATAAGTATAGTTACCCTACTTATGACCCCACTTATAATTACCCATGAACCTCCAAGTAGACCCGAAACCCTAAACACCTTCATGGCTATAGTCAACATCGTCACGTAGTCACAATCAGCCTGAAACTGGAGAGAGTCAAACTTGGGCCCAACAAGCTTAAATCGCTGGGCAAGGCCGACAGTGCCCTGACTTTGAAAAGGCGCTGAGGGTTGAGCAACCCTTAACCCTATATCGTACAGCACTGAGCCCAATGCAAGGATCGAGTTCTCGGGCGGCCGGGCGGATTTGAAACTGGGGGGATCGTTGAGATTCCAGTCCCAAGCCTCTATAACATAGGGGCCTTAACAGCCAGAATAGGGCGTTGGGATTTGTAACGATGCACATACAATACGGATCCCTCGGGAATACCCTGCACCCCAAATCCTAAACCCTACAGCCCTCAAACCTTGAATCCGTGTGCGCTACACCCCCAAACCATAGGAGCCTTAAGCGTTGTATTGGTAGCCCTAAGCCCCCAAACGCCAGAAGGGTTGAGGGTTTAGGGTTTAGGTAGTTTGGGGCTCAGTGGTCCTAGGGGTTTAGGGTGTACTATAAGGGTACTATAAGACTATAAGGGTTCCTTTAAAGGGTACTATAAGGGTTCCTTTAAAGGGCACTATAGGGGTAGAATCCAGACACCCCTTCTTGTAATCCGTTCAGGTGAAAGTCTGGTTGTCGGCCATGGAGCTAGACGTGAGCAACGTGAAGGACTGGAGATCAGGGGTTGGGAGGTTTAGGGTTTAGGGTTTAGGGTTTAGGGTTTAGGGTTTAGGGTTGGGAGGTTTAGGGATTTAGGGTCTAGGACTAGGACGGAGCGTTTGGGGTTTAAGTGATCTGGGATGCGGAGTACCATACTTTAATACATCTTTTCTTAAAGGAGCCATTATGAAATAAAAAGTTTAGACTTGTTTCTCCCTGGTTACTCAAAAGCCCAGGTGATGGGGGTCTGAGGGTGCATGGCGTTGGCGGCTCAAAGGGTTTCATCAACGTTCAGCGGGTTTGTGCGTTTAGGGACTTTCGATTTGGGCAGGCTTCAGTGTTCGGGTTTGGGTTTAGGGTTTAGGGTTTAGGGTTTAGGGTTTAGGGTTGGGTTCGGGTCTGGGTTGAGGGCGCGCAAAAGGGAATACTTGGCACTACTTGGAGGTTCAAGGGTAGTTATAAGTAAGGTTATAAGTAGGGTAACTATACTTATAACTCATATTAGGGGACTTACAACCCTACTTATAACTACCCATGAACCTCCAAGTCACACTGTTTGAGAATTCACGGGATTCAATGTACTCGTGGTTTATACCGATGTCAGGGCACAGCAAGGCTCGGGAAGCTTGTGCGGTGGGGTAGGAAGTCGGTCATGATGGTGTTCATGCGCGCAACCGCGAAGACTTCTTGCGAAGGAAGTTTTCTAACCCGAAACCCCCTACACCCTAAACCCCAGGCGGAAAAAAGGTGCTGAAAGCAAAAAATCCATGCATCATGACCATCTCGAATCAGCTTTCGATCAATGTTTCTGCTGTTTTACCAATTCCACCCCCGCGCATGCCGGGAGGCAAGAATTAAGCCCTGCAAACCCTAAGCCCATGCACTCAAGACCCCCAAAATAACAAAGCCAACCCTAAGGCCCTGAGCCTTACCTTTGAGAATCCTAGAAGGTTATCCCAAAAAGGAACTACGATGGAGCCTAAGGGTATAAAAACCCTGCGGTCCTTTGTTTTTTTGGGGCCCATTGGATCGATTTTGCGGAAAGCTGCTGGATGTGTCCAGAGGAAGGCCCTTGAATCTCCAAGCTGGCGGGAAGAACCGGACCCACAGCAGGGTTTAGGGTTTAGGGGTTTAGGGTTTAGGGCAACCTTGCTGATCCTAATAGAGGTGCCAGCATTGTCTAGTGTAAGCGGAGCAACTAGTACCTACTAGTAGTGGAAGTATCCAACAAGTATTGTCCGTTTCATGATCGGAGTAACTAGTCATCGTATCCGAACTATGCTCCACTCTATAGTCATAGAGGATAATGACGACACGCACACCTGTACTAAAGAGGCCTAAATGATTACCAGTACTATGGTTAGGGTTCCTTATTGTAATTATAGTATAATGGGCCCCAAAACCCTTTTCTACTTATTAAGGCACCTATAGCACCCCAACGATCGAGGCCCCAAAGTTCATTTGCAGTTGCAGGAGCTGTTCACGATGCTGGACACAGGTGACTGGATGGAACACCCGGTTTATGGTAGGAAACCCTACACCCTGCACCCAAAACCCTTAACCCTTTCACCTCGAATCTGGGTCGGGGAAGGAATAGCAGTAAACATAGTACTGTTCATAGCAACAGAAGTACTAAAGCGTTTTCATCATAGTAATGGTCGTAATGGTAGTATTAGTCATAGCAGTTAATTGTAGTACTGATGGTGTTAAACATATTCATTTGAAGGCGCCTACAGTTGAGAATCAGAGCCCCACTTCGGCGCTGTTTGGCCGACCTGTCCTCAGTGTTTGCCAGTTGGCGAACCCTAGTCTCATAGATTCGGGTTTAGGGTTTAGGGTTTGGGGTTTACCTATAGTCTCCATTGTAGTTCCTTTTTTTGGTTAACCAGTTTTATGGTTAGGATCCCATAATAGAGTTTTTGGTTAACCAGAAAAAGGAACTACAATGGAGACTACAGGTAGGTTTTAGAGACCTTGTTGCCTCAACTCTGAGCCTGAAGTGGGGCTTTCGTGGAGCACCCGACGTCCTGTAACTTCGTAGTCCCATGCCAGAAACCCTAGCACTCCCCAAAGGTTGCACAAAAATGTCCACTGTCTGAGTTTATTCTAATTTTGGAGTTTGGGATGTCAGGGTGTTAGAGTTTGCGATTAGAAGGTTTGTTGAAGTCTTTGCGTCCAGTTTTTTGTTGGGGGTGGACTGGGATCTTACTGTTGACATCTTAGGTGAGAGCGGTTTAGGGTTTAGCATTTGGGGTTGAGGGGTCAGGGGGTTAATTAGGGTCTGATTGGAGTTGCTATGTGATATGTGCAGTTGCACCGTGCATGCAAACTTTGTTGACTGGCACCAGGGCTTGCGATTGCGAAAGCATCAATCCCATACCCCTTAAGGCACCCCCGCCAAAAGATAGAAAGTAGTAGAAGATAGAAACAAGTGCCATTCAGGCTCAATGCCTAAACCTAGACTGAGCCGTACAACCGAAGCCCTAAAGTCTATATAGAGCCCACAACAACCCTAGTTGGCCCTCAGCCCTAAAGCGTTAACGCCGTATATAGCACCCTTAACCCAAAAGCTCCATGTACCCATGTAGCAGGTACTCAGGCCCTAAATTGCCCATATAGAAACCCTTTAAGGCTTTAAGGCCTAAGTACCTACTATGTGGGTACATGGAGCCTTTGGGTAAAGGAACCTCGAACCCGAAGCTTAAACCCGAAGCCCTAAACCCAGCACGCTTGAGGTTAACGGAAACTCGAACCCAAAGCTAAACCCGCTCCCTCAACCCGAAACCCTAAACCCAGCACCTTTGAAGTTCAAGGAACCCAGAGACTCCAATATCCCTTACTTAAGGAATATACCTTAAATCATATAAGGGATCCTACCATAATTTAAGGAATGTTCCTTAATTAAGGGATATTGGAGTCTCTGGGAACCTCGAACCCAAAGAAACGCCATATAAGATCCTCAGCCCCTGCCTTGAGAACGCCGCAGGGGGGGATGGCCGACTCTCAGCCGACGAGCTCCTCCGATATCGATGATTTTTGGGGGGATCTTAGGGGGTTTAGGGTTTACAGTAGAAGCCGGAAAGTTGGAATATCATTATCGTAGCCCCTTTGAGGTAAATTATAGGGGATCCTACCATTAATCCATATTCCAACTTTCTGGAGTTGCCTTTAAGGGTTTAGACGCCAGACAGGTCTGCTGAAGCTTCGGGCATGAGCTTGCCAGTGTCAAGAAGGGTAAAACAAGGTTTACAGTGCTTGGTTGCGGCTTCATAACTGGTGGGCACAGGGGTCTTTATCATTTGTACTTGCGATAGTGTTATGCCTCAGGGCTGCCTCATGAAGCTGCGGTACAAAGCCCGCAAGAGATTGGTTTAGGGTTCAGTCAGCCAAATGGTGTTTCGATATCGGTAGTTGTCAAAATTAAGGTCCCCATAAAGGGACCACAATTTTGACAACCACCCATATGGGTTAGATGAAACGACACAGGCAATGCCAAAAAGCTTTGTTTCCCAGCCTCACGCTGCCATGCACACCGATGCCCTTAAGCCAGACAGGATGTTGAGGTCTGAATATATTGATGATTTTATCCATAGTCCCGATCACTGTACTGCAGTGTACCACCACAGCCTTAGTCCAATTTTTAAGGCAATTGATTGCATCCTGTGAAGAACCATAATACACCAAACAGTTTCATCACACCCAAACCCCTCAACCCGAAGACGCTTCAACAACAAATTATGCCTGAGCCATCCTTGGACTCCAGGCTTGTTCAAGGCGTCTCCCGTTTGAGGGGCTCTGGGCGCGCACAGGCGCGAGGCTTTTCAATTAGGGATTTGGGCATTTGGGGGTTGAGGGTTCCGGGTTCAGGGCTGCTGGAACATGTGCAATCGCGAACGAGGGGGGTGGCCGTTGTTTTGTGTTACAGTTTTGGCATCGTTGAATTCGAAGGCATGGAATCTCCCGAATGTTAGTTGATCTCGAAGGTCTTCCTGCCACAGAAACCGGCAGGCTGAATTTCAGAACTCGTGCAAAGCTTTACGGGGGGTTGGGGTTAAGGGGCAGGAGCAGCTTCACTGCAGTCATATTCGATTATGTGTCAATCTTGGCTAATTGCAGCTTGCTCTGAAGAGCTAAACCCTAAACCACAGAGCCCCAAATCGTTATTCGCTAGGGGTTTAGGGTTTAGGGCCACGAGTATAGTACTGAATAAGTGCTGCTGTCATTCCCTTTTCGCAGGATAAGTTGATTAATGTACTTTAGACTATACCCCAAAGCCTCGCTCTGTAAATTAAGGCCCCCAAATTCAAAGTAAACCCTAAAATCACTAAATCCTAAATCTTCAAGAAAGAGATAAATAGAAATTGCTGGTCTTCGTTGCCCAGCCCAGCCTAGGCCAACCCACATTGTCCCTGCCTGTCCAAAAGATTCCCGGCCTCTGCCACCCAACCCAAGCCCCAGACCCTGAACCCCAAGCAGCCGCCCCCGAACCCGCACCCCAGGCTCCGCCAGCCCCCAGCCCTAGCTCAGCCCCCAGTTGGAAATCTGGCTCCCAAACCACAAAACTGTCGCTCAAGACTTCTGCGCCCAAACCCTTAGCAATTTCTGCAAGCCCCTGAACCCTAAACCCGACATGCAAAAGAGGACGTTCGGAAAATCTTGGAGATGAGCGAGCAGATGAAGTATCTTGGACTGTGACATAGCGGCCTACATAATTGCTTTAGGGCGTGGGTTTAGCATAGTTGAGCCTTTGGGTTTTATGTCAAGTCGGCGGGCCAAACCCGAAACCCTAGACCTCAATTTAGGGTTTGGCGTTCAGCGTTTTAGGGTTTAGGGTTTTCTGAACGCTGACGGTTAGATACTCCTTTGCCACAGCCAGATTCTGCCCTCACCAAAACCGAGAGCTGTATGCTTTATGTGCACTCGCCAGAACCCTAAGACAACCCTTCTTCATCTAAAGCAGGATACGATCATTGCCCGAAGTTTAAGTTCATGTGCCCGAGAGAACCCAAAGAACTCGATGTAAAACCCGAAAACCTCTTCCGAATGAAGGCCCTAACTCTGGGCTCTCTTCAGGGTTTCTTGCGGGGCCTAAGACTTTGTTTTTGCCGGGCCTTGCGGGGGTCAATCTTTAGCTGCTCTTCAAGGCGCTTGGCTCGAGAGCCATCGGAGGTGGAGGTAAGTTTTTTTTGGGGGGGGTGGGAGGTTTAGGGTTTACTATAGGGGCCCTAATAATTAGAAGAAGGTTTGGGGGTATATTCTACTGCATTTACAATGCGGAACTCCCCAAACCCTATTCTTAAGGCCTTTACATATATAGGCGTGAGGGCTGCGGGATTTCATGATCAACATTTTTTTGTGAAAGGGAGGTTGAAGATTGGCGGCGTGAGAAAGTTTCATGCTTCTCAATCTCGCTGCCTCAGCTAGCGGACTCCCGAGACGAGACCAACATTGTGAGCAATCTACAGAGTCCAAGCACTGAAAGATCTAAGGTTCCCTACACCCCTGAATACCAGCTTGCGCTGCTACTATCCCAAGGCCGTTAACTGAGCCCTAAACCCTCAACCCGTAACAGTGTGTGGGTTCAAATCTGTGAAGCCTTGAACGCACACCCCAAACACCAAACGTAACACGTGGTGTCACGTGAACCCTCATAGCACCCTCATGAAGCCTTAGAACAGCCTTAGGTAGAAGCCTCGCAGCAGAATCCTGTCACACCCTCTAAACCCCTGTACGTGCCTTACACATGAAGCCTCCAAAAGAGAAATCCTGGAGCCCGAAGCCCTAGATCCTAAAACCTTTAACTGCAAACCTTAAAACCTTCAACCGCAAACCCAAAAACCCTACTAAAAGCCTAAAACCCTAAGTTTCAATACCCTAAAAATCCTATGTAAATCGCTGCAACCCCAAAACGCTGGGGGTTCGGGCTCGAGCGAAGAACTGAGGCACGACCTCCGCGAGCTTCACGTGGCCACGGGCATCCGTCGATACCACACCGTGCCTCAGAGAGTTTAGGGTTTAGGGTTCTGGGTTTAGGGGTTTAGGGTTCTGGGTTTAGGGGTTTAGGGTTCTGGGTTTAGGGTTCAGGGGTTTGGGGTTCAGGGGTTTAGGGTTTAGGGGTTTAGGGTGTAGGATTCCGGGCGTTTAAGGCGGGTCATAGAGTGTTTCCCACTGTGCCTTTGCGTTGTTGTCCGTGCCCGTGGCTTCAGGACTTAAGGTTTTAGTGGTGGTCGCTATGAGTGTCAGGGCCTCGCCTAAGGATACTGAATCGAGCAGAGCCCCAACCCCAACTAAATCCCAAACCCCTATAGTTTGAATGTAGAAAACGCCTGACATAAAGAGTAACACCGAGTATTCCAGCGTACTTTCAATAAGAGACCTCACAAGCACTATTCTAATTATCAAGGCTCCTAAATCCCCAAACCCTCAACGTACCTGCAACCCTCCAAGGAACCTTCTTCTAATTATTCAGGCCCCTAAGCGCTCGAACCGAGGCAGCTCACACCGGCAGCGGAGACTTTGAAGATTCTTTGGCCGAGAACAAGCAGGCCGATGGAAGAGCAACACAGAACAAATTTGCCCCTTTAGGGTTTGAAGATGGCTTTGCAAGTTTTCACAGGTGTTCAGGAGGCTCTTGCAGGAGATGTGCCCTCAACCCCAACCCCAAAACACTTGGTCCAAGCCCCCAAAAGCCTTAAAGCCCGAGTATTGAAACGACCTGGATATGTAGAGCCCCATGTTATGAGACCTTTGTGTAAGCCCATCAGATAATTACTCTGAAAGGGCACGAGGGCTTAAGCACCCTCCTCTCTTATCCGGGAAGTTCGGCTCTCTGGGGATTTTCGTATAATCACAGAAATAGCTACGGTATCTGCGTATTCTATGGATCCCAGTTGCTAACTAGGATCTACATTCGTATTGAGTTGGGCCGGCCTGCTTATGGCAGAGTCTTTTAGTTAGGCAGGAACCTGGGTGGGAGGGCGTTTCGTACCAGCGGAAGTGGAACTACACCCTAAACCCTAAGCCCCCAAACTGAGCTTCGGAGCTTTCTTGGGAGACTCAACCTCACGACTCGGCTCCGTCAAAGTTCAAGCAACAGTGCTAGTAGCCGCAGCCGGGAACAATACTAAACTTCGGTTGGGTCAGACATTGGATCTAGCTGACGGCTCCATGGACCCAGACTGCTTCTTTAGCATTTGCTAAGCTTTGTAAACGGAAGCGCGCAACCCTGCACTGCAAGTGAATCTCGAAAGTGACAGTCAGGGCCGCGGAAGCATCACCAGTTCTGTGGTTCGTCATGTTTTTGAGATATGGGAGTTGCCGAAAGATTGCGGGTAGGTTCTTTTGGGGTCCTGATAATATACCTAGAGGCTCCATAGTAGTTCCTTTTTGGGGTTCGTAATTAGAATCCTATAAGGTAATCCCAAAAAGGAACCACTTTGGAGCCTTTGGGTAAGGACCCCCCCCTATTTTCGGAAACTCCCATTTTCACTTCAGGATCAAAAAATCCGGGCCCATGAGGCTCCTAGTCAACGAGCTCCTTTTGGGTTTACTACCCAGAGACCCCAACATATCCCTTACTTAAGGAGTATATCCTCAAAATATAGTAGGATCCTATTTTTAAGGAGTATACCTTAAGTTATAGTAGGATCCCTAATAGGATATTAAGGTAGTGTTGACAAAAAGCTCATGTTCCGCACCTCTGACCATGGACAGGTGGTGACGGTGAACTGCTGACGCTTTGACTTTCGATGGTGCGAGCTGTTGAGGCCGAGAGTCCTCAGATGGCTTGGGCTTCGGTTGTATTCCAGCGCATGGTGTTTAGGGTTTAGGGTTCAGGGTTTGGGGTATTGTAGTGTCTCAGCTTGGGTCCTTTGAGTCAGTTTTTTAAAACCAGCGGCCAAAACATTCGTTGGCTGTTGGATGGCACTTGTCCCGCCCATGGAGAGACTCTCAGGCAAAAGGATTTTCCGAGTGTGATTCTGCCCCGCCCGATGGATAAATTTCCCGGGATCATGGCTGAACATCCAGAGCCGACCGCTTGACCTCAGCCGCCAGAAAGCCCCCTAAACTAAACCTTAAACCTTAAACCCTCAATCAAAAAGTCGCGAGGCCCCCGCGAGGCCCTAGGGCCGCAAATTCCCGCAATCCGCGAATTCCTTCGCCACTTGGAGTTCACAGGTCAGCCGAATCCGGCTTCCCAGGCTCTGGACTTTCCCAAAAAAGCCTTACTAAAGCCTTGAGATGTAGCTGCTTCGGGTGAGAGCAAATCTTTCTCAGGTTAGGCTTTAGAGTCTAGTAGCACTCGTCCTCGGGGCTCCTGATGGCACCTTTCCCACCAGAGCTTCGAGCTGATAGCACCCCATCCCTAACCCTTGACCCTCAAAAGGCAAAGGCTGGAAACTATCAACTTGGCAGATTTGCGATCGACTCCTCCTCCTCCAAACATACTCCTCAAAGCCTTAGTCCCAAATCATAGTAGTAGTTCCTAGAACAGAAACCCTATACACTCTACTATATGGGTAGTTGTCAACATTAGGGTCCCTTTTTGGGGCACCCTAAACAGTAGTTTCGGAAAGATCGCCAAAACCTCGGGCTTCGCGCACGTTAATGCGGTTTATGGTTTGGGAGGTTCAGGGGGTTTGGGGCCTATTTAAGTTAGGGGATTTGCGATTCTGGGTTGAGGGCTTGGGCTTAGGATATTTTAGGGGGTGAAATCCCTCCCAAAACGCCCTTAGTCCAAAGCGCACAGATCCAGATTTAGTTGATTGTTCCGATGCCACAAGTACATAGGTACGCTGTATATAGGTTTTGTTTATCCGAATCCCGAACAGGATTTAGTTTCATATTCTCTCAGATTTCAGGCCAGAAGTCTGACCATTTTGGGGCGCTTGTGTAGGTCCAGTCCCAGTCGATCACCTTAAGGATTTCGGAGCCAAGCTGGATTCGTCCAGGGGTTGTCTTTGTTGTGAAAATGGCCGTCGGAAGTAAGGATGCATAGATACTGTGGTAATTTAGCTCTTTTTACAAGGACAACCTCGGAGTCGCGATCTCTGGTGCTTCCTTCCTAACAGGCTATGTTAAAAGGAAGGATGTTTTCCCACCAAGGCTGGTTTGGGGCCAGTCGAGGTTTAGTGTGTAACATTGGAGATATCAGGCTGCATAATTACGGTTATTTCTGAACGTTCCACTTCATAGATGTGCCACGGTTCATCGCAGAACCTTTCTCAAGCCGTGTTTCGGGCTTGTGGTAGTGACAAAGGGCTTCCGGGTTTGGGCATAGTGATTTGGCCTCCAGGGCTCGCGGCTTTAGGGACTTAGTGTTCCAGCGTCATATCAAAAAGGGCCTGCGAACCCCTGCACCCTGCAGGGAAAGATGGTGGGGTGGTGGAGTGATAACAATAAGAATAACAAGAAGAAGAATATACTAATATACCGACAGCAAGTAACAACACTCAGAACAAGGTGTCTTCGGACGTGTGACGAACTGTCGGACCGGCGCAAGCAGTAGTGCAACCAAACGGCAAAGAGTCTATCGTGTCAATGCTGACAATATGGTAAAACCTGCAACAGGAGCAGAACAGCAATGACGGCAATGGCAAGACTGATCCTAAACCCCAAACCCCAAACACTAGGTGATGGTTGTCATACAGCCTGCAGCGGTGACTGCAGCTATCAACCCCAAACCCTACAGATACTGAAGCGACGCAAGACACCGGTTGGGGTCTTCGGGGGTGTCGGTTGAGGGATCAGGTTCCAGGGCTAAGGGTTTAGGCTACAGGCTTCAGGGTTGAGGATTTAGACGTTGGTGTACGGGTTTCAGATTTGAGGGTTCAGGGTTCTTGTTTCGCGGCCGATTGTGCCTGGGCCTTTGGTGCGTCAGGAGCCTAGATACCAGCAGATTCCTTGCATCAGCTGCGAAGCAGCTACACGGGAAAAGCCGGAGAATGTCAATCACTCTGGGCTGCATTAAATCAGAATCACAGATCCAGCAGTCATGATTCTCATTTCTTGGGATTAGTCTTGGCTTGCTTTGCTCTTGATGTGCGAAGGGTCATGAGGGTTACACGCTTGTATAGGATTTGATGGACCTTGTCAATCAGAAGCGAGCTCGGGGCTATTCTGCTGGTCTTAGTCACCTATAACCAGGAGCGAGAAGGGAATGCGGTCACCGTTATTCAGACCTTTATACTCAATCCTGTCATTCTAAAGAATTGACGCCCGCCTGGACCCTAAACCCGAAAGCCCCAAAACGTACCCACCGTTTTGCGTTGGAATCACGGTTCATGGCGCTACACCCTGAAGCCTATGATGCCCCAAGCCATCAAAGCTCCAGAGCACTAACCTCTATCTCACACTAGAGAATTTCCGCTACTATACCTTGTGGTTCGTTTGCATTGCATAATAATATGCCAGGCAAACAAGGCTCATATTGAACAACTCCATGAAGACCTTGAGCTCTACCCCCCCCCCAATCCTCAGCCCTAAGCCCAAAAACCCTAAACTCCAAGCCTTCGAATCGGAGACATGTATAAATAAATAAGTATATGTATGTATACACGTATATGTCTAGAGTTCTTCCTAAGCCCTAGCCCGTCAGCCTTTAACCGTATTCTTGTTGGCCTTGGTAGCCCAGTGAGTACAGTCTGCACTTTTGGGGATAATATTATCGTTTGTAGAACTGAAAGTGTACACGTTTTGTCAGATATATGAATTCAGCAACTAAGTTGGCACCCCAAACCCTAAACTCTAAACCCTAAACCCTAATTTTGAGTTAGAAAAAAGAAAATAAAACTAATTTTGATCCTTTGGCTTTTCCAACCACCACGGCGGGTTGAAGGCACTCCAGGGAGCCCCTCTCGGCCCCGGTGCCCCATTGGCGAAGGCCTCTGATATCCTCAAGAAAGCCTCGTAGAGCCCTTAAAGGAGCCCTTAAAGGAAGCCTAATTAATCAAGGATGCCTTTTGGGCGTTTAAGTCTGAACACGTTTTTTTTGTCATCAGGGCTTAGGGGTATAGCAGTAGTTTTGGGTCTAAGGTTCAAGGTTCAGAAAATAGCGGTAGAGGGGCGGAGGTTTAGGGTTTGGTCTGAAGTACGGTTTGGGGCTTCGGAGTCTTGCGGTTATACGGTTAGGGCTTGGGTTTAGGGTTTTGGGGTCATACGGTTAGGGCTTTAGTTGGGGTATTGTAGACACGGGGGGGGGTGCGGATTCGGTTGTGGGCCTGCGGCTCTAAGTTGAGGGTTTGGGTGTGAGGTGAGGTGTTCGGGCAACACTTGTCCAGGTCCCAGTCTTTGGTGCACGTATACTTATATCCCTTTTATGTCATGTCTCCATATCACGATTGATTATAATTATATAACAGGAAAAACGAGACTCTGCCCGCGATATCTTGGGATGTTGAAGCAATTTTCAATAGTCCCCTTGCAGTCCCTATGCTACTTGGAGGTTCATGGGACTTAGCAACTGGGGTTATAAACAAGGTAACTATACTTATAAGTACTTATAACCCCAGTTAAGGTACTTATAGCTGTACTTACTAAGTCCCATGAACCTCCAAGTAGGGCTCCTTATCTTTGTTTGTTTGGTTGGGCTGCGTAGCTTGTTTCAGGCTGGAAGACTCCTATCGTTCCGGGCATTCAGACATACGAAGTGATACTTAAAGGTTCATGGGTAGTTATAAGTAGGGTTGTAAGTTCCCCAATATGAGTCATATTTTGATGTGCGTTTGATGCAGCGGCAGACTTCCCAAGCGATCTCTGGTT